AGCCTAGCAAACTCCGGGGCACCACTTACCGACGGCCTCTAGCCTCTCCCCATCACCGATCGCAGCCCAGACGAATCCCTACCCTAGAACCCAGTTATCGACACCACGGAGTCTTAACCGCTCCGGGGATCCTGGGAACAGAACCCAGTTATCGAAACCACGGAGTCTGAACCACTCCGAGGATCCTGGGAACCGAGTAACACTCACGGAGATATAGCTGCTCCGTGGGAACGAATTCTTGAACCTCGCGGAGCCTGATTCACTCCGGGGTCAAGGAACCGAGTTTATTAGAGTCCTCCACCGAGAACTCAAGTGGAGCTGAGCCTGGAAAGCTGACCAGCCTACACTGCGACCACCTGGGGCGTAAGTCAATAATCTTTTCAATCAACCATTACGCCTCTGTGACTGATTCTAGCTCGAGTGTACTGCTCCACCCCATGACTTTTCTCCGGCCCTGCGTGCCCGGGCTGCCGGCCACAGCCCGCGTGCACACAGACGGGCCTGGCTCGTGCCCGGCGAGGGCGGGACTGGGAGCCGGCCCGCACAGTAAAAAATGTTAGTAAAAAGTTTGGTTGTCAGGAACAAGTTCACAGATTATCAGTAAAAGAATTATTTTGGGTTTGCAACCCTGTGGTGCATCAAGATTAGAGTTTAATATAAAAGCAGAAGACTCTATCACATAGTTTCCTATGTGATGGGAAATGTTTTCTAGGAGGCAAATATTTTCTAGCAGTTTAACTAAAATGATAATAGAAAGATAAGCTACCTGGCTATTTACAGGTTGGTTTATTTCTATTTTTAGGGAGGAACAAAGTTTGAACAAAAAATGGGTTTTTTGCTGTTCCGACTTCATCAGAGAGAACCTGGCAATTTTAATTACTGTTTTATACTAAGTCCTCATGTCTGGGTGTCTGTAACATCAGCACAGAGGGAGTTCTACAAATTAAGTTAATCTTCTCTCTCACTCTGGAATGCTGCCTCTTAATGTACTACCCTTTTGGTTCTTGGTATTTTGAAATAATGATGGATGATTTCATTAATTGAATCTTGTAGTTTATTTTCATACCTGTCTGTATGAATATATGAGCATTTAGGGGACAGAGGAGAAGGGGATACAAATTTATTAATATAATAATTTATAGTAAAAATAATATGCTAATTGAAGAGAGAAATAATAATTCATCAAGCTGAAGAAAAAGAGGGGACCCTTTATTAGGGTGATTGATCTTTATTATTTCATTCTCTTAAGGTAGGGGTCACCAGCCTTTTTCAGGGGGCCAGGAGTCACCCCTGATCTTAGTGGCCAGCTGCCAGATTCCTGACCCCTCTGCAGCAGGGGTAAGCTCTGATGCTGCAGAGGGAATGGGCAGCAGAGCACAGGTCTATGACATGAATTCCCTCCCCATTTTGGATTAGATCTCTGCAGGCTGGATTGGACATCTTGGTCTGATTCCATTGGTTGTAGGTTGATAGCCCCTACCTTAGGGGGAAGTTGATACTTATGCAATGGGTTAACACAGGACTGGTGATCTGGTTAAGTGGTATGTACATTTTTAAGTACCTTTTAATTAAATGTTGCATAGCCTTTGTTGTTGACTTTATGTGCAGTGCTGAATCTCACTCTGTGGGAATTAATGGCTGCAGCTTTCTCAGAAATATTCTGACTCGTAAAGGTGACTATGTATCAGGGAATACTATGTTTTTTAGAAACAACAACATGATTGAAAGTGTGCACATTCCTAAATTGAAAACGTCTTCTAAGGATAGAAGAGTCTAGCTCTGCCCAAAAAGTGCTTTTAGGAGAGCTCTGATGAAAGGATTGGGACCTGTTCTCCATTACCTTCTGAAATGCATCATTGTGTCATTTAACAGGCTACCAAAGCTCACATAAAGCTCAACACGAAGAAGCTCTACCAAGCAGATGGCTATGCAGTGAAGGAGCTGGTGAAGATTACCTCTGTGCTGTACAATGCCATGAAGACCAAAGGAATGGAAACCACTGAAGTGGAGGAGGAAGATGGCAGCAAATTCAAGTTTGACCTTGGTTCTAAAGTAAGCAAGATTGGATTCTCTATTTTGTAGTCATGGAAACCAAATCAATTTACCACAGAAACCTATATGCTGAATGTAGCCATTAGTGCTTTTTTTTCTGCTTCCCCTCCTTCTGTTTGCCTCCTATTACACGTTGAGTCACCATTTAATCCCAAATGGAAACTTGGTCATAACAATACGAGCACAGTTTTGTTTCATATTGGTCAACTCTGCTTGGGAGCAGGATGGGAATAGCAGGGAGTGTGGCTACTCAAAAATGCAGCTAGGTCTATCTAGCAAACTTACTGTCCACAGCAGCAGCACACTGAAGCATGCTGATGCTTAGGGTGAGCTACCTCCTAACTCAGAGTGGTGGAGCTTTTAGTGCTGCTGAATAACAGTGCGAGTTAGGCTGTCCCTGTGGCTGCATGTACAGGGCTACTCTGCTTCTTTTTCAGGAGGCAGTCTTCCATGATTAGTACAGGACACTTGAGCGTGCCACACATAGGGATGGTAAATTTACCTTGTAGACATACCCAAGAAGCATGGAGGGAGCATACAGAGTACTTAAAGCCATATAGGGTGCATCTAGACAAGCACACACGTGTGTTTCCTCAGGGACAAGTTGTCCTTGGGAAATGTGCCCCCGTGTGTGCTCTGGTGTGTAGCAAGTTGCCCTGGATGCGGTAGGGGAGGCTGGGGGCAGCACCTGGGCTGGCCTCAGCAACCTTACCTGGGTGCCTTCTGAGGCTCTAGCAGCAGTGATATGGGCAAGTGGAGCTTGGCGTGGCTCTGGCTGGTCAGGCTCTGGTTTTGGGTGGTGCACTACATGCACTGCCCTAGTTTTTTTCTGCTGGGATCTCCTGGTGTCAAAAAACCTACCATGCTGCAAATTAGCATGCAGCAAATGTGTGCATGCGTGGTTTGCAGCACCACAGGCAGGTTTGTGATGCTGCAAACTGCACATGCACGCTCATTTGGATGTGCCCATAGATCTAATTCACTTCCCACTGAGCTGAATAAGAGGTTGCCATTGACTTAATAAGCATTGAATCAGGCCCTATATAAACACTTAAAAGAAATATCACCCCACAAACAACATGGAAAAATAAACCTAGAGATTGTTGAATAACAAATTCCAAATCCAGCTTATGACTACATTTATTACTTTTTTGCACTACAATATTTTCACATTAGTTTGTCCTAACAGTAACATGTTCATTATGCAGGAACAATACTTTTCTTGAAAGAATGAGATAATTACAACTACATTAATGTGTTAGTTGACATAGATATTTCTTTTAAAGAGACTGTATTTTGGAGTAAAAGCCTATTGTATGCTACCTGTGATAGGATCTTGAAAAAATGGGAAACACAGTGATAAGGTTATTAGTAATATTTACTTTAATTTCTCCTTTCTCTTCTCTGCATATGAACATGTGGCATTTCTATAGATGATCTGTTGGAAATCTAAGGACATCCCCCAAATCACTACTTGAAATCCTCATATTTTCATAGTTTCTAGGGTCGGAAGGGACCTGAACAGATCATCAAGTCTGACCCTCTGCCCTGGGCAGGAACTGAGTGCTGGGATCATAATGCCCCAGCCAGATATTTATCCAACTTCCACTTGAAGACCCCCAGGTAGGGGAGAGCACCACCTCCCTTGGGAACCCATTCCAGAGCCTGGCAGCCCTAACCATAAAGTAATGCCTTCTGATATCAAGCCTGAACCTACTTTCAGTCAATTTGTGGCTGTTATTCCTTGTTATCCCAGGTGGTGCCCGGGGGAACAGAGCCTCCCCTATTTTCCACTGGTCCCCGCTGGTGAGGTTATAGACGGCCACCAGATCCCCTCTCAGTCTTCTCTTGCGGAGGCTGAATAGATTCAGGCCCTTTAGTTTATCTTCATAGGGCCTGTCCTACTGCCCCCTGACCATGTGAGTGGCTCTCCTCTGGACCCTCTCAAGGTTAGCCACATCCCTCTTGAAGTGCGGTGCCCAGAACTGGAAGTAGTACTCCAACTGCAGCCTGACCAGCGCCGCATAGAGGGGAAGGATCACGTCTCTGAACCTGCTTGTGATGCATCTATAGATGTATGACGAGGTGCGGTTAGCCTTACTGACTGCTTACTTGCATTGGCGGCTCGTGTCCATCTTGGAGTCAACAATGACTCCAAGATCCCTTTCAGCCACTGTGTTGTTGAGAAGGGTGTTTCCCAGCCTATAAGTATGCTGCAGGTGCCTTCTCCCTAGATGCAGCACCTTGCACTTGTTTGCACTGAATTCCATTTTATTCTCATCCGCCCACCTCTAACCTCTCTAGATCTAGTTGTATTCTGTCCCTCCCCTCCAGCGTGCCCACTTCTCCCCACATCTTTGTGTCATCAGCGAATTTAGACAGCATGCTTTCCATGCCCACCTCCAAGCTGCTGATAAAGATGTTGAATAGCACAGGCCCAAGGACCGAGCCCTGGGGAACTCCACTGCCCACATCTCTTCAGGTCGAAAACAACCTGTCCACCACCCCTCTGTGGGTGTGACTATTGAGCCAATTTGCCACTCATCTGACTGTGTAGGCATCAGTGCCACAGTTGCCTAGTTTTTTTGTGAGAATGGGGTGAGAAACAGTGTCAAAGGCCTTCTTGAAGTCCAGGTAGACAACATCCACCTCAATGCCCGCATCCAAGGACTTTGTGACCCAGTCATAAAAGGAAACCAGGTTTGACAGGCAGGATCTGCCCAGTGAACCTGGGTTGGTTGCCCCTGAGCATTGCCTCCGATGCTGGGCCCCCGCAGATGTGTTCCTTGATAATTTTCTGAAAGGTCTTCCCAAGGACCGAGGTGAGACTAACTGGCCTATAGTTACCCAGGTCCTGCTTTCTCCCCTTCTTGTAAATGGGGACCACATTGGCCCTTTTCCAGTCCTCTGGGACCTGGCCAGAGCACCATGAGTGCTCATACAGCCATGCCAGGGGCCCTGCTGTGACCTCCGCCAATTCCTTCAGTACCCTTGGATGAAGAGCATCCAGACCTGCTGTGTTTTAAACACATCCAGCCCCTTCAGAAGTTCCCCCACTAGATCGTCCCTGACCCTAGGCATGGCATCGCGTCCCCTGAACCTGTCCATAATCCTAGTGGGAGAGCGTCCTGGTTCCTGCTCAGAAATATGGAGGCAAAAAACTCATTGAAGAGATCAGCTTTTTCCTTTGCTGCAATCACCAGATTGCCAAGCCTGTCCTGTAGGGGCCCCACATTACCTGGTGCCTTCTTCTTACTCCCTATGTATTTGAAAAAGGACTTTTTGTTATTCTTAATTCTGGTCGCTAGCCCTAGTTCCGTCTCTGCCTTGGCCTTCCTAACCGCCTCCCTGCAATCATGAGCAACAGAGGTGTAATCCTCCTTGGTGATAGCCCCTTGCTTCCACTGATTGTACGCCACGTTTTTTGTCCTCAGGCCCTCCTGGATGCCTTTACTGAGCCAAGGGGGCTTTTTAGCACTCTTGCCCCCTTTGGTTTGCATTGGGACTGACTGCCTCTGAGCTTAGAGGATCGTCTCCTTAAGGAACAACCACCTGTCCTGGACTCCCATCTCATTGAAGCTCTGAGTCCCCAATGTCTCTCTTACTAGTCTCCTTACCTCATTGAAGTCAGCCCTCCTGAAGTCAAAGACTTTTGCCTTCCTGCTTGCTTGCACCACCCTGTACCAAATAGTAAATTCTAGCAGACGATGGTCGCTAACGTCTAGGTAGTCGAGCACCCGCAGATCCCTCACCAGGTCATCGCTTGTGGCAAGGACCAAGTCCAGCAAGGCATTTCCTCTGGTGGGATTGTGTACCTCCTGGGTTAGGTGGAGGTCCTGTATGAAGGCTAAAAACCTATGTGAGCGTTCAGACCTGGCTGACTGATCCTCCCAGGAGATGTCTAGGTAGTTTAGGTCACCCATGACAACCACATCCCTTGTCCTTACAGCCTCCGTGAGCTGACCTTAAAATTCCAGGTCCAGCTCATCCCCCTGGCGGGAATGTAGTAGACGCCCACTATCAAGTCCCTTTCCCCATGACCCCCTTGCGTTCTAACCCAGAGCGCCTTAGTTTGCCCCCTTCTGAACCCATCCTGATCATCAAGGATGCGTACTGCTCTTTAACATAGAGCGCTACACCCCCCCTTTTTCTCTATCCCATCTATACAACCTATAGCCCTCAATGTCTACTGCCCAGTCATGGGTAGAATCCCACCAGGTTTCTGTAAGTCCAACCAGGTCTGGGTTTTTGCTAGCTAGCAGGAGGATGAGTTCCTCCTGCTTATTCCCCTTACTTCTAGCATTTGTGTAGAGGCAATTGAGACCTCCTATGGGTGTTTGTGCTGCCTTCTTGTTCCCAAGCTTACCTGGGCCCTTGTCACTTACCTGGGTTGTTCCTGCTCATGTCACCTGGCTTGACATCGAAGTGTCCTCCTGCACCTCTGCATCCCTATCCCCCGACGAACCTAGTTTAAAGCTCGCCATTTGAGATCAGCCAACCTCCCACCCAACTACAAGCTACAAGACGCAAAACGCCAAGAACAGCACAGCATGCCCTAGGTAAAAGGCATCCGGGGACAGCAGGGCAGACCCTACAACGAGAGGTTATGGGACCTGAACCTGTTCAGCCTTCACAAGAGAAGGCTGAGGGGGCACCTGGTGACTGTCTATAAACTCACGAGAGGGGACCAGAAGGGTTTGGGGGAGACCTTGTTTCCCCTAGCGCCCCCCCGGGATAACCAGGAATAACGGCCACAAGTTGTTGGAGAGTAGGTTTAGATTAGACATCTGTAAGAACTACTTCCTGGTTAGGGCAGCTAGGATCTGGAACCAACTTCCAAGGGAAGTGGTGCTGGCTCCTACCCTGGGGGTCTTTAAGAAGCGGCTTGATGCCTATCTGGCTGGGGTCATTTGAGCCCAGTTTTCTTCCTGCCCAGGCAGGGGGTCAGACCTGAAGATCTGCAAGGTCCCTTCTGGCCCTACTTTTATGATTCTATAAAAGCAGGGGAGGCAAAGGCCTGCTTTGCCACTGCACCAAGGAAGCTGAAATCAGGTGTGCTTTGTATCAGGCCCTTTAGCAGAGTGAACCTGTCACAGTTATTCTCTTTAAAGTTCAAGAGTCACTTCTGCTATTTCATTTTTTAATACTTATTTTCTAGATTGCAGATTTGAAGGCAGCCAGACAGCTTGCTTCAGAAATCACGTCCAAAGGAGCATCTCTTTATGATTTACTTGGCAAAGAGGTGGAGTTGAGGGTAAGTACATTGTGGACTGCATTGTGTTATGCAAAAGAAGGGAGTAAAACAAGTCCAACAGTGGCAGTGAATATATGAGATTCAGGTTCTGTATGCAAGGTCAGAAAGATTGCTCTGCTTTCTATTTATATTATATACAGCAAATGCTTATATACGGCAAATATGCGCACACTGCATGTGCGTGTATGTCCATGTATGTGTGCTAGAGGGTGGTGTGCATGTGTTTGAGGGCTGGGGAGGGTGTGTGCTGCTGCTAGACAAGCATGGAGCAGACTTGGCAGCCCTCTAGCATCAGGTCAAAGCTGTACACATTGCAGAGAGCTTTAACCTCAAATATGCAACTTCTCAAAGCACACGCTAACTTTAGTACTGATCTAACATTCCTTAAAGTTAGCACGTGTTACTTGTAATGTAAGCTCATGCTGTTCTTTTGGAGCCACAGACAAAAATAGTTTTCATCAGTAGGAGACACAAGAGCATCCTGTTGCTGTTCTTGGGACAGAATGGCTGTAGAAAGTAACAAAATAGCCTTTCGCTGAAATATAGAGATATTTCAAAAATGCTTCTTTTTGAAAGATGAATTCTTGTATAAGCATAAATCAAAATACTCATTATTTGTATATAAAAAATGGTAATAAATGCCTCTTCTGGGGACAGGCAGTTACTTGCTTCAAATAAATGATGGACAATAAAACCATAGAGCCCATCTCTGCTGTCATCAGTCCTGTAGCAGTCTACTTCATGGCTGAAGCAGTGGACATGGTTGGAAAGAGGGAAGCTCTGAAATTGTGACTAATAATTAGCTGCTGCTTTTACTAGGAGTAAAATTGATTTATTAGCTAAATAAATGTTTAACTGAGTCCTGGCAATGGTCCTGTGATGACGGACGTCTCGAGTCCGGTATCACCCGTCGTCTAGGTAGCCCCTCCCCTCGTCCTGCCTGCCATGACTTTGCTGTTATGTTTGATTTGTGAGAGGGTTT